TATTTATGAGATTTCCATGATTTGCTTTATTAAGCCTGATATTTAATCTGTGTGATTTTGGCCGTGGGCAGGACACTGTCTCTATGGGGTAGTGGGTGGGTAACAGTACAGAAGCTGCAGAGGGGTGTGTTAAACTACGACTCTGCTTCCTGGTCTGGACCCTGGGTTGTCATGGAGGACTAATAAAACTGGCCATATTCCTAGAAAGAAGAGCTGCACCATCCAAAGAGGGATGGATGCCGTCTCGCCGCATCAGACCAGGTTTTCCCCAAAAAGTTTTCCAATTATCAATGTAGCCCACGTTGTTTTCAGGACACCACCTAGACAACCAGCGGTTGAAGGACAGCATGCGGCTAAACATGTCGTCACTGGTCCGATCAGGCAGGGGGCCAGAGAAAATTACGGAGTCTGACATTGTTTTGGCAAACTTACACACCGAAGCAACATTAATTTTAGTGACCTCCGATTGGCGTAACCGGGTGTCGTTACTGCCAGCGTGAATAACAATCTTACTGTATTTACGCTTATCCTTAGCCAGCAGTTTATGATAAGATTTAATGTCGCCCGCTCTGGCCCCAGGTAAACATTTAACTATGGTTGCTGGGGTCTCTAATGCCACGTTTCTGACTATGGAGCTGCCAATGATCAGAGTCGGCTTGTCAGTGGGTGCGTCACTGAGCGGGGAAAATCTATTAGAAACGTGGACGGGTTGGTGGTGGCCCACGGGCTGGGTTCTATGCTTCCTGCGTACCGTCACCCAGCCGGCCTAAGGTCCCGGCTGCTCAGGTTCTGCTGGAGGACAGCTACGGGGTGGTTCTGAGCTAGTTAGCCCCACGCTAGCTAAGTAGCTACGGCTGTTTACGGGTTTTTCAACAGCGCAGAGCTGGGACTCCAATTCCGACACCCTCGCCTCCAAAGCTACAAAAATGCTACATTTATTACACGTACCATTATCACTAAAGGAGGCAGAGGAGTAACTAAACATCTGACACAGAGAGCAAGCGATAGGAGACAGAGGAGCAGAGACAGAAGTAGCCATAGCCGTGCTGAGGCTAAGCTAACTGGACGAGCAAACTGTTCAACACCAAATAAACTGCGTGCAAACTCAAATGGTTCCCTAAAAGCTAGGTGGAACAACAGAAAATGTGTGTTTTAGCGTGCTTTTGTGCTACAATACCTCAGAGATATCCAAGTACAGAGAAATTAAATCAGCTTTAGCGAGCCCCAAACACCAAACAGCTACACGGAGTGCAACACTGAAAACAGGAAACAGGAAACGCCTTACCGCCAGGTGCAGCCAATCAGCCAAAATGTGCGACTGTCATGCACCCTCTTTCAAAAGTGTTAGTAATAAATTCTTAACTTTTTAAAACTCTGACTCTTCTTTGAAATGAAACACAGAATGGTGTATTCTTGGTTATTGAAAAAGCAGATTCCTTTAACTTCTGATTAAATAAATAAACTTTTGCTATTAAATGTAATTATCTTAAATTAAACATTAATCTTTGGATTAAAATATAGACCAAGACAGTTAGTGTATGAACTTCTATCGACTGCATTAATATCCTAGATATTTGTGCATAATATAAGTTCATATGCTAATGTCCGATCTTTTCTTCAGAATCTAACAAAGCTGATAGCAAACAGCATTCGTTCTAGTAGTTAACCACGCTGCATCCCACTAGGTTTTTCAAACAATTTTATGACTCATTTAGAGATGAGATTTTAACTTAGATGAACTGTTCCCTTCAGACGGGGGTCTTTCCTGCTGCTTTTAAACGGGCGGTAGTCAGACCCCTGACTTAAGATTTTATCAACCGCCAACATGTCCTAGAGAAACTGCAGTCTGGTTTTAGGGTGAACCACAGCACTGATACGGCTCTTCTGAAGATTTTAAATGATTTTAGAACAAATTATGATGCCTGGAGGGCAACAGTGTTGGTTCTGCTGGATCTAAGCGCTGCCTTTGATACAGTAGACCACACTATTCTTTTAACCCGTTTAAAACAGATTGGCCTCTCCGGTGCTGTTCACAGTTGGTTCGCTTCCTACCTCACAGACAGGACTTTTATGGTGAGTCTGGATACCTGTTCCTCTGGGGTCCACAGCATCACATACGGTGTGCCTCAGGGTTCAATTCTAGGCCCAGTGCTTTTTAATCTCTAGATGCTCCCTCTGGGCAGCATCATCAGGAGACATGGGGTGAATTTCCACAGTTACGCTGACGATACACAGTTGTACATCTCTGTGTCTCCTGATGACGCACAGCCAATGGAAACACTTTTTAACTGGATTTTAGATATTAAATCATGGATGACTTAAAACTTTCTCCAGCTCAACCAAGACAAAACTGAAGTTTTAGTCATCGGTCCTGAGGCCCAGAGAGAGAAACTTTTACCTAAACTACAACCAATCTCTTTTTTTCCATCACTACAAGTGAAGAATCTGGGTCTTAGTTTTGACCCTGAGCTGACTTTTATTCCCCACATTTAAAACGTCACAAAAATAGGTTTTTACCATCTTAAGAATATCGCCAGAGTCCGCCCATTCTCTCTCGGGCCAATACGGAGACGCTAGTGCATGCTTTTGTAACCAGTAGAATTGATTACTGCAATGCCCTGCTTTCTGGTCTTCCCAAAAAGAACATCTCAGGTTTACAACTTTTACAAATCTCAGCAGCACGTGTCCTGATGAAGACCAGGAAGCAGGAGCACATTACTCCGGTTTTAGAATCACTGCACTGGCTCCCCGTATGTTTCAGGATCGATTTTAAGGTTCTTTTAATGGTTTTTAAGTGTCTTAATGGTCTCGGGCCTTCTTATCTTTCAGAACTGTTTTTACTATATAAACCCTCACGGTCTCTGCGCTCCTCTGGCAGCCGTCTCCTAGTTATCCCTAAAGTTAAGACTCACACCCACGGCAAGGCGCCCTTCAAGTACTACGGCCCTCGCCTTTGGAGCGGGCTGCCGGAGGACCTCAGGGCCGAAGGGAACGTCCACGCTTTTAAGAATACCCACCTTTTTAGCTTAGCTTTTAACTGATTACTATTTATCTAGTCTGTTTAACTGAATCACTTGTCGTATTTGTTTATTTATAATCACTTTTTATCAGTTACTTTCTATCCATATTAGCTTTTGTTATTTTACTTGTTATATATTTTAATCCTCCAGTGTTTCCTCTGCGGAGCCCTCTGCCTTGGGGCCGGTGGTCGGCGGCGGCGACCGGGGCGCTCCTTGGGTAGTGCCCGAGCAGTGGTGGGGTCTCCGCCCTCCCTCCCTGGGCGTCATGGGCCAGTGTCTTGGCTGCTGCCACGGATCTGTTGCTGTCGAGGCAGATGGCTCTGCTGATGATGTGTCGTCCATTACCTGACCCGTCTGAACTCAGCCTATTGTTTACTCTGTTCACGTGTGTGTGTGTGCGTGTGTGTGTGTGTGTGTGTGTGTGGGTGTGTTTGCGTGTGCATGTGTGTGTGTGTGTGTGTGTGGGTGAGTGTACGTACACCTTGGAAATTGGCTGCGGGAGGGGAAGTGTAATTGTCAAATGTTTTATACTTGGGGAGGGAGGCTGAGATGGGGATATGGGATCTATGGGGCCATTTTAATCTGTGAAGCACTTTGAGTTGCATTTTTTTGTTTGAAAAGTGCTATACAAATAAAGTTGATTTGATTTGATTTGATTGGGAATTTCACAAGAAAAACAATGCTGTGTTTCTGACCACTTACAAAATTTGTTTAAAATTTGTTCAATGTGCTGCCGTTGTGTTGGATTGTCAATGCAACCCGATCTGCAAGGTCTAACCTTGGCCAGAAACCAGCACGGTATATGTCATCCGAATGATGTGCCAGGGACTGTCACAAGGTAAAACGTGGAGGGATGGCACACAGTGGAAAAATGGTATATTCTGTGTAATTACTTGAGCAGTTTTGTTTTATTTGCATGATTTTAGCTTTTGAGCTTGATGTTTATTGCATTTTGTTTCTCTGTGTTTTTGCGCTTGATCCACTGTGGACTTTGTGGACATTTCTGCTAAATGACAGTCACCTGTCCTGAGACTGCCAATTAGGTGCCAACAGAGCTGGGAGGACATGAAAGGGAGAGCAGCCTGCAGGAAGCCAGTGAGAAGGCAGAAGGATTAGCTGAGTTTTAAAAGTGGAGCAACCCATGCTGAGACGAGTTTAAGTGTCCCATTCCTGCAGCTGGAGCAGTGACGTGTGTGAAGCAACGTGTGTGATTGACAACAGAGGGGGGACCTCTGCTCACTTGCGTGAGTAAACGCTTCCACTGCTGCTTGAAGGGTGAAGCTCCATAGGGGCAGATCCTGTGGAGGATCTTTAACGGGCTGCTGCCACGACCAAAGGTTCTACCCAGTGTTTTGTGACCCGCAGTCACTGCTGCAGGAGGAGGGTGCCAGGGAGAGACGGCCAAAGGTGTCGATGGAGAGCTCCTTCTGCGACCTTCTGCTAGGAGGAACAAGAGTTACCTCGAGAGGAGCCTTCCCTGTGGTGCTTCATGATTAAGGACGTGAATGGTCTTGTGACTCGTTTGGACTTTTTTAAATGATCTCTTTGTTGTCTGCATGCTAACTTTTAAAATAAACTTTTCTTAATTTGTTTCAAATATTAGTCTTACTAACGTTTTTTTTTCATCACCATCTCGTGGATTATTGTGGGGAATACAAAGAACTAAACTTCACCGATCAACCTGTATGTGTCTCTGTTCTCTGGTTTCTGTTACGCTCGCTCCCACCCTGTATCTAGGCCTCTCTGGTTTACAGCTCAGACCTTCCAGTCACAGAGTAGTCTTAGTCACATTTGGACTTGGCACACGCACTCGATGGGGGGGGGGGGGGGGGGGGGGGGGGGTCACAGCCCCGAGAGGCTGTGGTGGGGTAACTGGGCCCTAAACTATTTATCATTTATATAAATGACATTGTTGAGGCATCCAAAGTATTAAAATGCACCTTATTTGCAGATGATACAACTTTCTACTATTCAGGAGATAATGTTGAGCAGATGATAGAAGTGATACAAACAGAGATGAAAAAATTAAACTATGTTTTGATGGGAACAAACTATCATTAAACAGTGATAAATCCTGTTTTATGATATTTAGTAATACACATTCAAATGATGAAATTTTATCAAATATAGATGAGATTAATATTAAAAGAGTTAAAGAAGTCAAGTATCTGGGAGTCATCACTGATGAAAAAATGTCATGGAAACTACATATAAACAGTGTCAAAACTAAAATATCTAAAACTGTTGCACTGTTACATAGAGCTAAAGGGTAGCTTTACAATAATTCATTATATTTGTTATATAACTCACTGATCATACCGTACCTGAACTACTGCATTGAAATCTGGGGAACAACATATAAAACTTACACAAATTCCATTTACATCTTACAGAAAAAAGCAATCAGAATAATCACAAGGAGCAACTACAGAGATCCGTCCAATCCATTATTTATTAAATTAAAAACACTAAAATTCTACGATCTGGTGGACAACAATATTTTAAAATTTATGTATAATGCAAACAAAAGGAACGTACCTGCAGGATTAATTAAACGATTTACAAAAAGACATAGCAAATATGATTTAAAGGGACATGAATTATTTAACATACCTAGACATCGGATACTCGTAAAGGAACATTGTGTCTCCACATATGGAGTTAAACTGTGGAATAAATTGAATACTGAACTCAAGAATGCAAAAACAATATTGACTTTCAAAAAAGAGATAAAAAATAAAACGATTAACTTATATAGATCCGTTACATAAATGTGTGAGGGGAGGGGGGTGGGGGGGATGAAAGGAAAAAAAAAACTAGTATGTATTCGTATGTGTACATATGTATGTATATAGATCTGTAACTTAATGCTTCTTTCTGTGTAAATTGTTTTCTTTTTCTATTTTTTTTCTCAAATTCATGGGTTGAGATTTTGTCGGCCAACAGGTCCAGGAACTATATTGTTCAATTTCTTTAAGAATCATGTGATTATTTCATTTGTATTAATATTATTTTAGTTAAAAGGGGCAGACAACATAAGTTTTTCTTCTTTCTGTCCCCTTTTTCATTTTGGCTTGCAGCAATTTAGTTCTGATTGTATTTTCATTTTAATGTCAATAAATGAAAATAAAACATAAAAAAAAAACAACAAAAAAAAACTTATTTTCATATCTGAAAGGTAGTAACCCCATTACAGGGTGGGACTAGATTCTTCTCAGGTTATTACCTGAAGGTGGTATGTGTTCTCAAACACACCCCCTATTTACCCTGTTCTCACCCTTTACACACTTATGTTTACCCAACACATTCTCACACCCAAAGCGTCGAAATATGACGATCAGGGTGCCCCAGCACGTCAGGAGAGGACGCGCTGTCCCAGAGTGTCGGTATCCGACGCCTGCGGTTACACGGACATTTGACCGAGTCGTGATCTACTTAACCTTCCCCTCAACCCCATTCTAACCTTAACCAGCTTGCGCATGCAAAGCTTAATTGAAAATTACTGAGTTAAGGTTAGGACGGGGGTGAGGGGAAGGTTAAATCGCGAGAGGTTCGAGGAATAATGTCCGTGTCACGGACGCGTCCTCTCCCGATGTGCTGGGGCACCCTGATCGTCATATTTCGATGCTTTGGGTGTGAGAATGTGTTGGTTTACCTAGAGTTACCTTCATATGTATCTCTAAGCATCCCTGTACAAAATCCCCATGAATGACTTGTGATTACCCTTGGTCCCTGTTCCTGTTTGTGCCCCTGTAAAATCCCTAAACATACATCTGCATACGCTATGCTAGTGTTACCTAACTGTGTGTCTACATTAAGTCAGAATTGGACACACTTTTACACCAACTGACTTGAATTCAACAGTGAATTTCACTCAGGCGACTTGCATCACTCCCAAGTGTGCCATGTTCTGTGTCCCTTTGTTCCCCAGCTCCTCCAGTTCCCACTCCAGGTTCTCCTTTTGTGTTCTCTTAGCGCCCTCATGTGTCCTTTGTCTGCATCTCTGTTGTGTGTCTTAAGTTGTAGCCCCAGCCTCTTGTTCCCCGGTTCATTGTATGTGTGTATGAGTTTGTGTGTGTGTTTGTGTGAGTCCTTCCCTTAGTCTTTAGGTTAAGTTTTGTGTTTCATATAGTGTTAGGTTTATCTGCCCTCCACTGGTTCTCTTCCCCATCCAGATAATTGTTGTCACCTGCCTTCCCTCCAGCCTCACTCCACACACCTGCTTCCTGTTTCCCTAATTGCTCCTCCCTGTCTATATAAGCCCTCCTTGTCTCATTGTTCTTGTCGGTCCATTGTTGTTTGTCAGCGTTGTTCTTTGGTGCTCTGTGTGAGCTTCCTGTCTAGTCCCCAGTTTGTGCTCTGATTGAGCTTTGTTCTCCTGCTTTTGGGTTTCTGGATTTTGGGCTCCATGCCTTTGGATTTATTTTTGTTCATCCTACAATAAAAGGATTCTTTTACTTTATATCAACTCCTGCCTCATGTCGTCTGGTGCTCTGCATATTGGGTCCTACTCCTCCTAACCAGAACGTGACAAAGGGCAGCTAAACAGCCTCGTGTGGCTGCTAGGGGAAAAGGGGATTACTTTGAGAAAGTGTGCCGAGTTTGTGTTAGAAAAAAACACGTTAGCTCTAATTAGCATGACTTGCAAATGGAAGCTTACCACTCACAAGCCAGGTTAGAAAAATCAGATTAAAATGATGGTTTCTTTTTGATTGTTGCAGCTAAAGACAACATAAAAACATTCCCTAGCTTCTCCCTGCAAACTTGGTCTACCAAGGATAAATAACGTTTCATTGCATGTATTAATGAGTTGGGAGTGAATGTCCTCTGTCCCCCGCTTCTCCTCCAGCTTCACTGGCTGCCAGTCAACTTCAGGGTTCATTTCAAGGTCCTGGTTCTGGTCTATAGGGCCTTACATGGACAAGCACCATCTTACATTGGTGATCTTCTTAGTCCCTACACCCCCAGCAGGCCCCTGAGGTCCAGTGATCAAAGCCTACTGGTTGTGCAGCACCAGGCTAAAGGTCAAAGGTGACAGATCATCTGCTGCTGTGGCCCCCAGACTCTGGACCTCTCTCCCCCTGAGCCTGAGATCAGTGGACTCAGTGGTCTCCTTTAAAAAGCAGCTGAAGACTCACTTGTTCAAGCTGGCTTTTGTATGACCTTCTTCACCTCTCTCTCTTTATTCTGCTCTCCCCACCTATTCCACCTTCCTCAGGATCCACTGGTTTCCCTCTTTCCTGTTCACTCTCTCTCTTTCTTTGCATTTTTAATCACAATCGTCTATTTTTGCTCATGTAAAATATATTTTAAAACATTTTCTAAATGCTTTTTTATATTTTTACATGTTTAGTTTTTGTGAAGCGCCTCAGGATTTTTAGCTTGAGAGGCGCTATAGAAATGATATCTTCTTCTTCTCTATAGTTCAACCTTTATCCAACCAATAGACAATTATTACCGGTATCATGTTGTATTCTATATCAAAATGTTAAACGTAGTTGTAAATTTGTTAAGAAGCAGAAATACGAAATAATTGAACATTGCAGGAGCAACACTGTGGTTATTGCCTTTTTCTCTTCATTCCAACAGAAAATGAGAACAACTGCCCTGAGAGAACCTTCCTTTCTGATTGATCATTGTTCATAAAGCTGGCTCTGAGTGACGTCAGACGAACAGATAAGCTGCATGTCTGCAGGCAGAAGGAAAGGAAATAGAGAAGTGATGAAGAAACAATTGACACATAATCGATGGAGGAGAGAGGCTGCGTAGAGTGAGACAGCTGCAAATAATAGGTGAGAGTTAAGAGAAGAAAAAGGACTGAAAACATCTTGGTAACAACTGTGAGGAAAATAATAATTACAAAAACACCAAAAATTATATATGGCAAATTATTGTTTTTTTCAGATAATCATACTTAAAATACACGACAGATAAATGAGATGAAATGTGTTTTACCACGCAGTAGAACAAATCAAATTCAACCATCTTTTCACTATAAAGCTATGATTGCATGGAATGCATTACCTAGATTTTTAATTTTTGAAAGTAATAACATTTCTTTTCAGAAGAAACTGAAAATTTTTTTGTTTACACATTTAATTGTATAGTGACTATGAACTCTGCAACGAAGGATTGAGAATCTGGGTTTGAGGTCGAATACTGGATATCGATGAACGAAACAATGGACATGATGTCACCATTCTGTTATATTTTATTTTTAATCTTTATTGGTTTGATTAACTCCTTTCCCGATATTAGTTTATATAAGTAATTTTGTTCTAGATATGTGATTTCATCTTGAGCTACTGGTATTATGTGAATTAGGGATGTGTGTGCGTGAATGTGTGTGTGTGTGTTGGGTATTATCTTATGTAAACTATTGTATGAAAATGTATGAGACCCCAGGAAGACTAGCATCTGCACTTAGGCAGAAGCTAATGAGGATCTCAATAAAACGAAACGAAACATCAGTGAAAATGAGATCAAGTTTCATTCCAGGTTTCTTATCCTGGACACAGTTACAGAACTAGCTTGGCTTGAATGACCCATTTCCTGTCCGTCTGATCTGAACGGAGCAGAAGACATTCTGTTTTTGACAAAGATGGTGAAACTTGGTGAAGTTTCTAGTGTTGCCACAGCTACTGCTTTCATGGACATGGGCCGTTTCTGACATTTTACGTTCAGGATATAACTGTTGGTGATGCGGCACATTATGGGACACCTTGCTGTCCCAGGTCTGCTGAAGGATGCATCCTCGATATGATGGGCGGAGTTAGAATACATCCAGGAACTTTGAGCATACCCGCCATGACACATCCTTAGGATTGTAACAGTACTTGGGTCAGAGCTGATGACGTTTCACAACGACCCGAGTACACAAGTACAGACAAGTACGCATATTGAGAAATGGCCATAATCTGTAATTTATGAAAGAGGATTAGGGTCCTTCAAAAGAAAATGAAGAAAATAATAAAGAATTTGAATTTTGACTTTAGTGTCAGAAGTCAAAAGTCAGAAATCATTTTCTTTTCTTTTTTCCCAGCAGCTCTAATTGTCTTCCTCAGTAATGAAATCCAACACATGCATGTAAAAAAGAGGATCATTCTAATTCTACATGGAGGCACTGCAGCCCACCGACACTCTCATACTAAATGCTTCATTTTAGTTTTTGGAGGAAATAATCCTTCCTGATGGTCTTCAGCATATCCATCATGAATCAAAAAGAGAGAATTACATTTCATTTGGTTTAATCACTGTGTGTTGCGTCCTCTGTGAGGTGTTTGATCCCGGCTCTGCAAAATAACAGCAGACAAAACAGAGCGGTCATGGCGGCGTAGGACTTTAACACCGTCTGAACGGCAGCTGGGAAGTCAGGATGTGACAACAGCGACTGGCCTCGTCCCAAATGGGAATAAACCAGCAGATGTATCTCGGCAGCACGGTGACCTTCCAGCCAGCAGTAGTAGACTCCTGAATAAGAAAACACATGGAGGAAAAAGCTGTTTGCTTTAATATCGCCAGAAATACACAACCACTAGACTGTGTGCTACATGAAAACGCGTCCCAACGTAACGGTATGATATCTGTTTGTCAGACAGTTACTGTTTTAGGGGGCTAGCTGTTTATTCAAAAGGATTACTTTGATCCTGCTTGCAGTGAGAAAGAACAGGGAACGAGGAGATGCAAAGCAGTGACTGACCATCGTTGGAACATCATGTGTTGGTGAGGCTGGAGAGCAGTGCAAACAGATGATTGGATAAGAAATGACAAAGGGCTTATTTGGACGTGAGGTAATGGTACGTTTGACAACTTAGCACACACTTTTTTACTTGTGGCTAACCTTAAAGTTAGCTTTCAAGACACAAAACCCTTTAGAATATGAAGTTTTCCAGGTTTAGACACTCCAGTCTGACCGCTGGTACACCCAAACACACAGGAAGCCTCTGTGCCACGCACTGTTTCACTGGTCTAGATGTGGGCTTGGAGAGACTTCTGAAGCTTTAACTGAGAAAGATTTAGAGTTTCTCACTCTTGGAGGGTATTGACATGGAGACATTCAGTCTTCCATCACGCTGGACCGCCATTAAAATGTTCAGTTCAACAACCTAAAAGATTGCTTGACGGAAAGTTAAAATTGAAGGTGAATATTATTATCATGAGCCTCAGCAGAATTCATCTGGAAGCCGTAAAGCTAAATTATAGGAAGGAAGGTCAACAAGAACCAAAGAGTTACCTTCATCTCTGTCGATTAAAGGTAACGGATGTGATGATACCTGAGTCCTGCGCTTTGGTTGGTTGGAACACGAGGTGATGTCCTGTATCTATCCACAGCCTGGGTGGGGGGGTGCTACTGTTACCACCTGGCAGGTGTTCTGATCTGTAGATTGGTTTTGATCCATGATCCCAGGCCACAGCCGTGTTGGGACGTGCCCCGGGGCATTCCAGGACGAGGTCTCGGTCAGCTGGGTGGTTCAGAAAGAGCACGGGTACCGGCACTGGCAGGGAGTCAGAACTGTGCCACAAAAATGAGATGAATGAATAACGGAGTAGTCCAAATAGTACACAAACATGATGTTAAAATCTGTTACGGAAAGTGCTTTTTACACTAATCATACAATATCAGTCCTTTTATACAACAGAGTATTAGCATTACGTGAGATCTGAAAGAAAGTAACACGTTTTATTCAAACCTACGTTCCAGGTGTTTAGGAGTGGAACAGTGCTGGCTTCAGACTCCGACACAGTTTTACAACATTTACAAGCGAGGCTGATGTTTGTAAACGTGGTTTTTAGGAGTTCTCCGCATTTTAGAGGCACGTTCCTTTAAGTGGACGCAGCATTTAAATGGGATCTTCCTCATTCGTTGAACCTCGGCAGCACAAACTCACCTATACCCCAGAAATTCCTTCAAGGCAGTCAGCTGAGAGGGAGGGGGTGCATCGGTTGGACAAGTCACTTGACAGCTCTTGATCTCCAACCTGGCCCCCGTTCGGCTGCTCATCTGAGTTTGGAAAGCTCTGGGCAAGGCCCCGGAACCACACGATGCGGCCGTCTGATTGGGCTGTCTGTACCGCACATGCAGGAAGCGGGAACGAACGTAGCAGAGTCCCACACGGACCTGCTCCCCGGGAACTCCACAGCGGTCGCAGACAGACCAGGGCTGGAAGCTGGTGAAGACCTGGTACAGGTATGCTTTGCTCTTATGCCTTCTCCTCTTCACACTTTCTTCAGAGGACCTGGAAGAAAACAGTCTCTTATGAGTCATAACATACTCTCAAAACTTAGCAATGGCTCCACAGCCTCTCCTGCTGACCTCTGAGTCAAAGTGACTGTTTGGGCCTCCTGAACATCCAGGTCGTAACCAAAGAAGAAGTCCCCGTTGGTGGAGCCGCAGATGTAGAGTCCGGAGTCGGCGGGCCCCACTCTGAAGATCAGCAGGCTGAAGAGCCGGATGGTGAATCGACTGTGAAGGTCACTGCTTTGAGGGATGTGACTCGTGTCCAGCAGCCTGTTGCCTTGGTGATCCGACAGGACTCTAGTATCAGTCGAGCCGCGTTTCTGGAAGAACCACACAACAGACTGGACCTGCAACAGAACAGGGAGGAGAACAGGCAGAAAAAGTGTTAATCAACCCTGCTGGGGTCTCAAACACTCAGCAGAAATTCTTCTAGCCACTTTGCTCTCGGCACGTTTCCTGATGGAATGGAGCGGTTGGTTAACAATGCTGGATGTTAGTGGTCCATGTGAGCTCAGAACCCCACAGCTTCTCCCGTCACGGTGTTTGTGTGTAAACCATCACCGTCCCCGTCGTCTTTTCCACATCTTTTTGAAACCACTTTAAAGACGATAAAACAACTGGTGCTGCACCCTTGTTGGCCAACGGAGCCACATATGCATCAGCCCAGAGACCACAGATGTTTAAACGGTTTCACAGAATCTGTTATTATCTGAAGTCACTCACATTTTTATTATTTTTCCAAAGAAACAACAGATCTGATGTGATTGTATGAAAAGTCCTACAGAAGCGACACTACCTCCTGAGGCTTGCAGTAGCAGGGCAGCTCCACGGTGACTCCGGCCAGGTAGGCGGCGTTTGTGAAGGTCAGGAATGCCGGGCAGGCTGTGCTGGCAAAGACATCCTGTTTATCTCCAGGAGCCTCGTAGCTCCGTGATTCAGACGACAGCAGCAGGAGGATCAACATAGACGTCACAAACATCTCAATTTTCCAGCAGGAAATAGTTCCCCAGTGCCAGAAGAGAAAAAACAGCATTGTTTACTTTACTTTTAAATTTTAGAAATCTAAATAAGTTCTATGTTGCAGTCGATTACAGCGTATTCACAAAAATCTCTGTTTCTCAATATTCAAGGATGCTAGCTCGTTCTTCTGTTCCAGACAAGTATGTTCCTACCAAGGACGTCAGAACGTCTGTTCTACCGAGGACGGGAGGACGAGGACGGTATTTGGAACAGAACCGTACTCCGCTGTGTCCTGGCAACAAGTGCTGCTTCTTTGTACAGTTACAATAACGACCTGACATTAAAATAAAAGTCTAGTTTCTCCATTAAATGACAAAATAACAATAAAAACTTCTTATTTATTTTATATTTGGCCCATTTTTGATCAAAACTATTAATACTAGCATTTCCTGATCGTCAGTGATTAAAATACGTGTATTTTTCATCAGAAGAGAGCTACAGTGCTTTTATTTTGATAGTGGGTTAGCTAATTTGCATTGTGAAGGATGTGAGAGTGAAACCCATACACACAGGAAAATTTACAGTTTACACACGATTATTTTCAATAACAGACAACATTATATTATTTTATTTTCATTTCTAATATTAAACATTACAGTTATTAGCTTTCTCCTCTGACATTCGGAGTTTAACGGTTAGCGGCGCCATGCATTAAACTTTGCTGTCCCAAGTCCACAGAAGGATGCACCGATGCGTCCTCGATACAATGGGCGGAGCAAGAACACATCCAGGAACTTTGAGCGAACTTGCCGTTATGCATACTTAGGATTGGAAGAGTCCTTGGGCCATTGCTGATGGCGTTTCACAAGGACGTGAGTACACAGGTGCGGACAAGTATGCATGTTGAGGAATGTATTAAAGAGCAAGTCAACCCCTACCAGAGTCTAACTCCACTCCCACTTCATGTTTGAAAAATGCAACAAATGCTGTTGCCTGGCAGACCAAGAGGGCGGAGCTGCTAACAAATACACACACACACAGACTCACAACAGCATTGTGACATCATACTGTACCAGTTTACATCATAGCATACCTCTTAGCCAATAGCGGTGGCAGATTTAAATTAAAATACAGTGCAGAGTTTTTACCTGACAACGGCACAACACTGACAGTTTTAGGCAAAATATTTAAATTTTAACTAAGATGCACTGAAGTGCCAAATTATTGACGACACGTGTCTGCAGCACGATTAGACACTCGTATATTTAGTTTATCAGCAAAAAAAAGTTTATTTGGGGGTGACTTGCTCTTTAAATAAATTTTTGGATCTCCAGAACAGCTCGCATGGGCTTGCAAAAGAATCATGGAACCCGCTGATTGTGGATGTGATGATAGTAATGAACCTGATTTCAAGGAAAGAGGCCAGGTGTGTCCAAAGTGTGGCCCGAAGGCCCTCACAAGCACTTCTCAGTGAGATATTTGGTCTCTCCAGGTGACAGTTACTATACAGCAGCACTTGTTGAACATTTTTGAGTTTAGATTTTTACAAAACGTTTATTTAGGCCTTTTTGAACAGAACAAATAAAACAATTGCAGTAGCATATTTTGTTTTCCATTATTTAGATAAAAACATATATTTTTTTGGCCCTTGAGGGCTTGGGCCTCGTGTTGAGAAGTGGGAACACTCCGGGACAAGGCAGATCAAGTTCCCATTTATCAAAGGAACACTTTTCAGTTTTGGTTTGCATTTAGCATCTCCTCGTGTCCGTTTTAACTCACTGTCGTAAAACAAAACTGGTCTACCCTCCTCCTGAGCGTTCATCTTTTTAACACCTTAGTCTGTCTGCTGACATGTTTCCTCAGCCTTCGATAGTTTCTTCAGCAGCAGCACATCACTGAATCAGACAAAACATCTCTTTACTTCCTTTCTTTCATCTTCCTTCTCCAACCCATAAACCCCGGCATGTCTGAAGGTCTGACGTGTGGCTACCAGCCGTGAGGGCGTATCCGAGCATCGGGTCATACGGTGAGAGAACATGACTCGTGAGCTTTGCTCTGCGAGGAACTTGAACTGTTTGAGATGCAGCTGAATGCTACGAGTGAAAAGGCAAATGCCCGGCTTCAGATGAGAACTCTGACTAAAACGCCTCAGACAAACAGTGTCATGGTCTGCGTCTTCCCTCATGTGTCTCCTCATGTTCTCCATCCCTCTCTAGTTTCCCATTTTGTGTCTCATAAGCGCCCTCGTGTGTCTTTTGTCCGCGTCTCATTTATGTGTCTTCTGTTGTAGCCCCAGCCTTTTTGTCCCCAGCTCCCTCCTGGTTCTCTTCACGCCTCTAAAGCCCTTTTCAGATAGACATTCTGGAACATTTGCGGACAATTCAATCCAGTTTTTAACCGGAACTGTGTTTTCAGACACACCACTTTTGTACCGGAACTTGTCCTTTCGGCTGCGTGCACACAGCAGGAAAAAGTTCCAGATGTCTGACGGCGGCGGGGGGTGTGTGGGGGGAGAGAGAATCGGACGCATGTTAAGAAGAAGAAGAAAATATCATTTCTATAGCGCCTCTCAAGATAAAAATCACGAGGCGCTTAAGCATAATTCTGCGCACACGAAGACGCATAAGAGACCTGGATGATGAAGCTCAATGGTTAAAGGAATCACTGAAGAGGTGTGAAGCGCTCCGTCGCGCGTCTAGGCGGTACCGTAGGAGGCGAGCTGCTGTGGTTCGCCGCATGCTACAGGAGCAAGCTATCTAGGTGCGCACAGCGTCCCCCGGTCCCCTCCTCCTCCCCCTCCCCCTTGTCCGGAACTCTACCTCACCAGTCTGAAGCAGCCACCCTGTCCGTAACAAGTCCGGACCTGTTACTAGGGGCTTCGTCCGGATAAATTCCAGAACACGTTATCCGGATGTTTGTATTCAGACACAAAGGTCTTACGGACAGAGTCCGGAACATTTCCGTTTTTCATGGCCTGTCTGAAGGGGGCTTAAGTCTCCCCATCAGTTCATAAAGGTCTTTTATTTCAGTGTGTGTGTGTGTGTCCTTCCTCAGCTCGGTGTAGTGTGTGTGTGTGTGTGTGTGTGTGTGTGTGAGTCCTTCCCTCAGTCTTTATGTTTAGTTTTGTGTTTTATAGTTGTAGGTTTATCTGCCCTCCTCTGGTTCTGTCTCCCATTTTGAAAATTATATTCACCTGCTTTCCCTCCAGCCCTCACTCCACACACCTGCTGCTTCTTTACCTATTTGCTCCTCCCGGTCTATAAGCCCTGTCTTGTCTCTGTGTTGTGTCGGCCCATTATTGTTGTCAGCGTTGTTCGTGCTCTATGTGAGCTTTACGTCTCCAGGTGTTGGTGCTCTAGGTGAGCTTTCGGTGTCCTGAGTTCCAGGACTTTTGATTTTTGGTTTCCTGCCCTTTGGGATTTTTTGGGCGCATGTTCCCAATAAAAGGATTTAATTTAAAATGCTCCTGCCTCGTGTCATCTGGGGTCATCTGCATATTGGGTCCTAACCTCCTCCTTACTCCACATCGTGACAAACAGCTGCTGGCTAAAGACTAGAAACTTTCTTGAACTGAGAGAATCACACAGCTGTGACGGTCACTCACATGTCCATGTTTAACAGGATGAGCTCTGAAGACCTGTTGTTTGTCTTTCACGAGCGTTGCCTATAGCTCTATTTCTGACTGTGCTGCACAGCCTGGTGTAAAAACGGCATGCTTTTCTTTTTCAGTCTCATGTCTTTAATGTCTCCTCTGTCAGTGTGCCCCAGGCAGGGGCGTGTCCAGGGAGTGGCCTGGGGTAGCACATGCTACCTTTGGAATCTGATTGGCCACCCCAGGCGCCAATACACTAATTTACTTTTAAATAGGCTTTTCATTATCCACAAAAGGCTTGGGGGTAAAACATAACCATTGGTGCCACCCATGCACAAAGCTGTGCCTCACCTGGGCCACCCCATTTTAAAACATCTGGACACGCCACTGGCCCCAGGACAGCTGTGGCTACATCATAGCTCATTACCATCAGTGTGTGAATGTGTGTGTGAATGGATGAATGATATAGAGTATTGTAAAACGCTTTGAATTCCTTACTCTGAGGCGCTATACAAGTGCGGGTCATTTAAAACCTGCAGGACATGAAAATAGGCGGTGTTGTCAGAAAACCGAACAAGGTAAACACGTGGGAGGAAAAACCAGGCAGACAAATCCAAGGTCTTCCTCGTAAGGACAAGGACGAAATGCAAGTCGTTTTTCGAAGCGCACATAGATGTAGTTTAGAACTCAGGATACATGAAATGACTGCACACAAAGCACAAAGAGCAGCAAGAAACAAGACACAAGGTCAAAGCAGGAGCGAGAAAAGCGTTTGAGGGGGAGGGGGTGGGGTGGGGGTGGGGGGGGGGGGGGGTTACCTTGGCTGCCTTACTCATATTGTTGCTAGTGGCCAACCTAGTTAAAGATTGTCCCTGAGTGTGGATGAGAATCAGCTCCTCTAAATCTGAGACCATGCCTTCTCCGGGTCAGGGATGAGGTCCTGCCTCAAGTGGAGGAGTTTAAGTATTTCGGGGTCTTGTTCACAAGTGAGGGAAAACTGGAGCGTGAGATCGACAGGCAGATTGGTGCTTAAGCTTTAGTGTTTATGCCTTTTTATGATGTGTATTGTTTTTAATGTTTTTATTTCTGTGAACACTTTGGTCGGTCTTATACTGTTTTAAGGTGCTGTACAAATAAAGCTGCCTTGCCTTGCCTAAAGGAAGACCCAGGACACGCTGGAGGGACTACGTCTCTCGGCTGGCCAGGGAATGCCTTGGAATTCCCCCGGAAGAGCTGGTCCAAGTGGCTGAGGAGAGGGAAGTCTGGGCTCTCCACTTAGGCTGCTGCCCCCGCGACCCGAGCAAGGGCTAACGGAGGGAGATGGATGACTTTCCACACAGATTAGTTCAGGTTAGGCCTGAATTACAGGATTTGTTTTTCACAAAACAATAATCTGACAAAGCTGATGTTTCTTTCTTTATTAATTTCATAAGCAGAGAAAAATATACAGTTTTCATTTCAAGCTTCAAGAAAATCTCTTTATGCAAAGGTTACAAGCTGGCTAATACAGATGTCCATCCTGGTTTATTCAGAGCAGGAGCAAGTTCTCCGATGAAGCTGCAGAGCCTGAGTCATGTGATGCAGCTAAACTCAAAGTAAACCATGTTGGCGAACACTTACGGTCCGGTCCATCCCTCCTCACACACTCAAACCTTCCTGTTCCTCCACAGTTTGGCCACAAGGGGTAGGTGTGGTTGAAACGTTCATTTGCAAACACAAATAACTCAGTTTTTGTCATTTTTTTGTTATTTACTTTAGAGGACATCAGTCCGACTTTGATCTACTTTTGCAAATGAACTATTTATTTACTCTGTTTCATCCACAGCATCTCTCTCTGCTAGAGGACCGATGGTTTCAGCCGCTCCCACCTGCTGTAATTTCATCAAAGCTAATTATTCGTTCATCTCCGCTGGAAAGAAAGGCTCTAGCTAGCCACGCCTCCTCCATAAAACACTAAGTCTGAAGGCTGAAGCTCAGTGCGCTTCTGACCACATCTCTTCCTCAGTGGTGGGAGAGATGGGTGTGTGGTTACCATGGTGACCAAAATGAGCCACTGACAACAGCTCAGACTGTTCTGTTGGTCGCCTTTCTGCTAGTGATGTCCGTTGTGAGTTGAAACCATTTAATCTGTTTTACAGAGAAACTGTTCTTTACGTGACTAACCACCCGAGTTTCTCAGATTAGTACGGCCTCATAAACACGAGAACAAAAGTAAAACAGATCCTTAAAATACGAACCAAATGTAAAACTTTCAGAATAAAAGCAGGTTATGGCTGAAGCCGAATTCCTTTTGAGGACGCAGCCTCCCAGGATGTTTAACACAGCTAGCACACTGCAGCTATTCACTAAAATACACACGTTTTAACTGCACACCTCTTTCTGACAGCATAAATAAAGCAACTGGTTTTAGTCCTCGTGTGTTTCGGGTTTTAACTAAAGAACGGAGTAGTCGGTGCACTGAGAGATGTGGCGGTTTCACCAGACCATCCCAGTTTAGCTGTGGCTGCAGCCGGGCGCTGCAGGACTCCCATCAAAGTTTTTTTTATTAGTTTAAAACAGCACATACATTATTTATTTACTATTAATCAAATAGAAGAATTGTATAAATTCATGACTCAGACTGTGAGCTAGATGCAGTCCACAATAACACGCTAATAAATACCAACAGTTTCCCACACCGTAGAAAGAACACAACTAACAGAAACACTGCTTGTTTTCCTTTTTTGGTAAGAATACTAACAACAATAATATAGTTTTTCTTTAAAACAACATTGAACAGTTCTTTTGTTCGACATTCATGTGGTCTGTAAGATGTAAACAAATGAAATCCACAGTCCTCCGGGGATGCAGCAACGATATCTAAGGATAGGGAAGCAGTTTTTACTTTTACACCAACAACGACGAGAGCGATAGTCTGACACGTGAAGTGGTTTCTTACTTTCACTTAAAATATTCTGTTTAAATGTTCTGTACAGAGGCGACAGGCAGCAGACGCCCTCAGCAGAGGGACTTCAAACCCATCACGAGAAGAATCACCAACAGGAAACGCTGCTGCTTCAGGTTCAACAGCTGGGATGCAACCCGTCTTCATACAGAGACGCTGGGCCCAGACGGGTTTCCGGCAGGAAGTCTAGAGTTAGAGCCGACCCGTTCTCCTCCAACTCTCTGAGAACAGACAGATGTGATCAGCAGGAACACGCAGCTGCTGCGAAGGACGGCACAAGTCTGCAGACCTGATGCAGTGGCACCAGTTCGGTTTAGCCGGTGTAGGACCCTAACCCTAACCTTCATCAGCTACCCTAACCTTTTAGACCTAGCTTTGACTTATTTCATTCTGATGTTGATGTTTGAAGTACTTTGTGACTTTAACGTGTGAAACGATGCTTGATAAACAAAATCCACGTCCTCTGTAGGTCTCAGAGCTCACTGCTACAGGAACAATGTCCTCCTATTCAAGTGATTCTAGTTTTCAGGTCCAAACATTACGACGGGAAGAAACACCGAGTTTATTGGAGTTTATGTCAGAAGAAACGGACGTTAAAATAGCATCCAGTTGTTAGCAGTTTCAGTATTCTTTACTTTAGCTCACTGCGTTGTATGGATGTTGTAAAGTATCTGCAGACACCTGGACTACATGATGGAAAAGAAACTAATCTTTTATTATGGTATGTGACGGGTTTTTGGTTTATTTAAGATGTTCCTTCAGCTTTAGTGCCGCTTTGGCCTGTCTGGCTGTTCTCAGAGCCTTCAGGAGTTCAAGTTATAAAACATTCAGAGCTTCAGTAACGAACTTCACTTCATATTTAAGGCAATGTAAGTTCATGGAAGGAAAACGATCAACACCTGCATCAAACGGCAGCAGCAAGAAGAAAGAAAAGGTTTGGATAAACAAGAAAAAACAACAAATAGTGACTCAGCTGTGAGCGAACCACGTCCGTCCCAGCATCCATTCTGTTCAAGCACCGGAGACGCAAACTGGTGCTTTTAGGCCAAAGTAGCGACAGATCACACGGAGAGATAATTACACAGAAACACGCAGACACTAAAGAAGAAACCAGCCTTACATCATGGCGTGAACTTCCTAAAGCCTGAAACTGTCATGGAGACTGAAGCCAGCTGTTCCTCACCCTACCCCCACCTCAGAGCTACAGCTACAGCAACCAATCAGACCTGGCAAAAAAACTCATTTAGAAACACAATTTAGGCCTAGTCCACATGTAGCCGGGTCTTTTTAAAAACGAATACCCGCCCCTCCAAAAACTTGCATCCACACCACCTCGTTTAAAAATAAACTGTCCACACGTACCCGGATAAATACGTTGTTAAGGACATGCCAGACCTGTAGGGGGCAGTACTTCCCCCGTTCTTAACCTCGTCCTTCATCTGTGGTCTTCCGCAAGGAGCAGTAATTCCTCTTGCAAAAACAAACAAGCAGAAAGCGCTTGGACAATTGATAAAGCGAGCGCAGCTCTGAGGGCGTCCATGCTGTCGGCTAGTGTAAACACAGGTCGCACACGTGATGTCAGCGATTTTTTGTCGCGGAAAGTGACGTTGCGGACCTTAAAACTCCGCTTTTGTCCGTCCACACGCAGACGCCCAAAACGGAGAAAACGCAGATCTTCACTTTGGCCGGAGTTTTTAAAAAGATCCGTTTTCGTGTGAAAAAACTCTGTTTTCGTGTGGATGACAGGCCAAAACGTAGAAAAATATCTACGTTTTGGCAGATCCCCGGCTACGTGTGGACAGGGCCTTAGAGGAACAGAGTGGGATTCGAGAATCGAATCGTCAGAAATAAGTTAAGGATTGAACTAAAGTGTTTCTCAGAGGAAGACGAGAAAACCTGATTCATACTTCTGCGTCGGCTCGGCGTAAGGGCTCTCCGACAGGCTCACAGAGGGTGACGGAGACATGCCCAAAATTTTAGACATCTGTAGAAAGTGACGGAGAACGCAAGCTTGTGATTGGTCAGGACGCTGCTTCCTGCATCTTTGTCACCAGCACCGCCATTGCCACAGTAAAAAGTAAAAAGATATTTAGTGGCAGACACGAAACAAACTGAAGAACGCGTCGCCGAAAAAGCATACGGAGCAAACGTGGAGGGACATGACGGGAAACGTGGGTTTGGAGGTGACGACCGCATGAAGGTGGAGGAGCAGGAAGGACAAAGTTGTTATGAAGTCTCTGAAACACGTAAACACATCTAGCAGGGACCGACACCCGAGTGTTATGGTGGCAGGATACCACGGAGCAGCGCTACGCCCCCTGTTGTCCTGGAGGGGAATTGCTTTGCTGCCTGAACAGAAGTTCGCATGTGAAACCCTTCCGACACGCCGTGTGAGTCTGTGTTGTGGAGCTCACGCAGAAGTGGAAATCAGGCTTTACACGACTCATTCCTCATGGTTGCTGGTTAAAAACACCAAATGTGTCCCAAAACGTCAGCGGTTAGTTTCTGAACCCATTCAGAGTCATGCGACTGTCCTGATTATGGGATGTGATCTGATGTGAGGCTGGTTTCAGCATTTAGATGAGGTAGAAAAAGCCCCTTTGTCCCAAGAACCTTGTGACTCGTCAGTGTCACCTTGGTTCAGCGTTTCACAGCTGCTCCCGCAGCAACATCTAGACGCATCAGTCCAGAGTATCTCCAGAACTTTGTGGCAGTGCCAAGTGACACATCTGGAAACCCAGAACTACAGACCAACCAGATGTGTTGCTCTGCTTGGATCTGAATGCCTAGCTGGTGCCAGTGACATGAAGAGAAGCTCTCCGTTTTAAAAAGGATGTTTCACGGCTTCATCCTCCCACTCGTTTCTGCTTCCAGAGTCCAGACCGTACAAACCAGCAGAGGCTGCTGTCGGCAGGAGCAGGGTGAAGGCTTTTGTGACATCTACGAAAAAAGTTCAACAATCACAACAATGTGTATTTTTTCATCAAGTATAAAGATGGTTTCTATGTAAACAGGTATTTTGACAGGTTCCACTGTGTAGGTCAGAAATGTACAACCCCACACCACAAAGGACTTTACCCTTCTACTATCTCCGCTCCGCCCCCGCCCTCCGCAGCCGCTCGCTTTCGAACTCAAATTATACTGGTACCCGCTCTACAACGGCTCCGCTCCGGTGCGGAGACCTGAGGGGGGCAAACAGGCATGAGCAGGATTTTCGAGATCTTGCGATACAGTCCGAGCAATAAACGCGGAAGTTAGATCCAAACACCGTTGTGTGGGAGAAGCATCGACATGAACTGTTTAATCTGCCCATCATTTGTGTTGAGAGATCAGCAGTGTTTGGATCAACAAAGTGTGACTACTTTGATAGTAGAAACTGTATTTATGGCTTACTTTTGTGCATTTAAACTTCAGCCGCCATTGATAGTTGTTAAAAGTTGTTAAACCTGTGCATATGAAACAAAAAACACCTTTTGTTTATCGATTTATTGTGAAAAACGGAAGTTGTGCTCGCTCCTTTTCCTGTTGGGCGGTTGTGATTTCTGTCCATTTACTGCGGAGGTGCTCCGGAACGGAACGGCGGGCGGCGCCGCACGGCCGCAGTAGTGGAACAGCTCTGATTGACAACAACGGGACCGTTTTTGCTGCGGAGTTCGTGCCGGAGCGGAGCGGAGATAGTGGAATTTTGGGGTTAGGGTAGAAGAGTAATTCCTTTTAAATCCTCCATGATTTTTCATTCAGATCTTTGCTCTGAACCAAGGTGTCGCCATCTTTTAAACAATCAACTCATTCATTCATTTGTCAACAGCTCAAAGGGAAAATGTGGCCATTCTGAGGTTTGCTTCTGCGTAAAAGTCTAAGCTTCTCTGTCGACAGCTTCCTGGACAGCCTCTGCTCTGAGAAATACTTAACTTCCTGTAGGACTGATGAGCTGACATTCATTCATTTTATTTATAGAACGCCTTCCCACCAGCAATCAAGACATCCCACCGCGCTGAACATGATGATCCAGCTAACCGCTGGCCTCAGCTCAGTCCAGACCATGCTTTATAGCCGTTGTCCCAAAGCTGTTCAAAACCGCTGAAGCTCACAAAGTTAAAGCATAGATCCACACGAGCCTCTGGTGCCTGTAGGCGTCAGGTGTGATTACATAACTGCACAATGTGACAATGATGTTGTACACAGTTATAAAATCATTCAAACCAATTAGATTTAAGCAATAGGAGTTTCAAGATGGCAGCCTTGGCCTGGGCCAAGTTAACTCATCAGACCCAAACTCTATTTCTTCTAACGGAGGCTGTTCAGGAGGTGATCAGCGCCTAGTAAGATAATATTATCTATGATGATTATGAAAACCTTTTAAGAGCATTAACACTAACTGCAGAGAACTTCACGTGTTTTACAATAAACCACAAGGCTAGTTTTTATAGCACCTCTCAAAATAAAAATCACAAGGAAATAAAAAATAAAATTATTTTTATGAAGATCGTAATAAAAAAATGGGGAGAATTAAAAATTTGGCCAAGAAAAAAAAGGAATGAGAATAAAATGAAAAAGTAAAAGTCGGAAGGTTGGCTCAGTATGGAGGGAATAAATTGTACTTGTACTTGTACTTGTACTTGTACTTGTACTTGTACTTATACTACATCTAAACAGCAGACTCGGTCTCTGTTCAGCTTCTGCTGACCTCGTATCTACAGCAGCTCCACAGGTGGACATGAAGACGTTCTTCTTTGTCACAAAGCCTCTCTGAGCGGTCCGAGGACACGCTTTCACGGCCTTTGGTGTTCTCAAATCCACCGACTTGCTGTCATCCACACAGATTAAGGATAATCTCAAAACTGTTCACTTTGATTTTAATCCCTCTCTAACACAGTATGCTATGGATGATTCAGTCCCTAGTATCGGACGTGGCTCCTGATCCTAATGGACCTGGTCGCGTCCCACTGGGCGTTCTGTGGGTGACCTAATCTCTGGTCTAATATCTGTGTGAGACGACAGACTCTGCTGGTCTGGAGGAAAGCTACCAATGAAAATGTTGTTTGGTTTTCCATTTGTTCACTTTTACTCTGCTGAGTTTGAGACCAAATATTTGCTTCAGCATGAAGAAGTCGGATTAGCAGGAAGATGATCTTCCTGTGGTTTTCATCAGCAGCAGGTCAGAGCAGCCCATGGCGGCGCCACCAACGCCGTTGTTTCCAAACACTGGCTGCTCCTTTAACATCGCCTGCTGGCTGCAACTCCCGATCACGGCAGCAATCAGGCATCAATAAGCAGCATTCAGAAGCACCGACTGTTGTTAAAGACAGCCTTTGGAGAGTAGACGGTGGTGTTTGACCCGAGTTACCAGGACCAGACCGGAATCTTTGTAGACCATTTATCTAACCAGAATCAGTTCAGCCCGGTTCATGCAGCAGAATTACTCTAATCCTATCCGATAATCCTGCCCTGTGAAGAGTTCTCTGGTCAGCTCGGAAACACACCGGGACCGACTGCTCCGATCATAAAGCTAGGGTGTCAGCCATCTTGGAATGACTTCGTCTGATTTTTGGAGACACACAAGCGAGCTGCCAGTTTAACGTGACACGTAGCCAATCAGAAAGCGAGGTGACGGAAGCACGCAGCCCACGCCTCCTCGTGCTGCTCCAATATTCGGATTTCTTCCTGGGATATCCTGTCTGGCTGGGAAACGCCCATGGCTGAAACCCATGCAGTCGTTTTCGCCGTGGATGCACACACCACACACTGCAGGACAAAACTGGCACATGCGATTATTTCATCACCACATGTGGTCTCGTGTTTTAGAAACGGGCCGACAATTTTAACATCCTGCCGTGTGGACCGGGCTTTAGCTGACCTGTAACCCCGCCTCCTCTGTCAGAAATGTTGTGTAGGACTTTCATGTTACAAGAAGAGATGAGCAGCATGTTGTAGACCATAATGGGTGGCAGAGGTGTTCTACAGCTTCAGTATATTTAGCTGCTACACCTTACCGACGGTAAGTTCAGTCCCAGGCTGGAGGTGCAGCAACTGTACAGCAGGCTCGTTTGGCAGAACCTCATTCAGCTCCTGAGGCTCTTACTTTGGATCTACAACCAAAGTCACATGGCACAACACTTCAGAGACAACCGTAAACCCTGAAGAGGTTTTCTTAGGGTTTTACTTCAGTTCATCAACTTTTGGTTTGGAAATCAAACTTCTTGTTTCCGTTTGTTAAAGGCGTGGCAGTGGCAGTCCAGACTTGGGGTTGAACTGTGACCAAATCAGGCGCCTCTCACTGTAAAACACAGCATTCGCTCTACTCTCAAATTCTTTTCCTTTCAACCCCATCACTCTCATCTCCATCCCCCCCGCCCCAGGCCAGTCTCCTAGTTGGGGGGCGGGAGGGCTCGTGCCGCTAGAGAGCTGTAATCTGAGTTAATTCTGTGTTGGAATTTCCTGTCCCATGGGTCTCTTCCCTCTGGGGGGGGTCTACCCCCACCAGAGGCAGCTCCACGCCTAGTCATGCTGGATTAGGCGTCCCACCCCCAAGTCCGCCACCATCTCCAGCCTTGTAGCTGTAGGCGGCGGCCACCTCCCTGGCGATGCTCCTCATTCTACCCGACTGCTGAGTGTCGAGGCGGAATGGAGAGGGCTGGCAGAACTCACGGAAGCAGCGCTTAAAGTTTTCATCCAGGAAGGCGTAGAGTACTGGATTCAGGCTGCTGTTGACATACCCCAGAGCGATGAAGAAATGCGTCATCACCAGCGTGTACAAGCTGCTCAGGTTGAAGCCCAAGGACTGAGCCAAGACCATGATCTGGATGGGGGTCCAGCAAACAACGAATGCTGCAACGACAACCAGGACCATCCTGGTGATGCGCCGCAGGTTGCGATCCTTTTCCTTGGAACCAGAAAGAATGCGAACGTTTCGCAGACGCTTGACCATCAGACTGTAGCAGATGCTGATGATGGCCACGGGGATGAGGAAGGAGAAGAGGAAGACACAGGTGCCAAAAACAGGTTCCCAGTGGTTCTTTGGTTTTGGTAAATCAACAATGCATTCGACACCTGTAGAGAGAGAGAAGTGTTAGCAAGTGGTCTCCAGCCTTTCATTAACACTTGAGTTAGGAAAAGGATCTCTGACACCATTAGGGTCGATAGGAAACTAATTGTCAGATTTTCGCAAAATCATTCAATTATTTTTTTAATTTAGAGTTTTGATTCCCAGTCTGCCAAACAGAAAATAAGCTGACCGATGAAGACATATCTGCTGGATGTGTTTGTGTCACCGGGTGGCAATCCAGATCAGCCTTCGAACCAGAATCACTGGAGAAAGAAGACATCATGGCGAGTCGGCAACGTAGCTCAAGGGTATGGCAACGTTTTACGAAAAAGTGCAAACTCTACAGTTTCAACTAAAGTTTAAGTGATTATTCTTCTATTTGAGAGAATAAGGTTATTATTTGGAATAAATAGTTTAAGTCAATTTGCACAAATGGTAAGATGAGCCAGAATCCAGATAACACTCGATGTTCAAAAGGTAGCTGATCCATTCAGTGGATGTTTTTAAACGTTAGCACAACTACTCTTGATTTACGGCGTGTGGGTGTCATCAGCTGCAGCCCTGCCTCCACCACTGCCACGCTCCAGCCATTGATCAAACCGTAAAAGTCTGTGTGGAAGAGCGCAGACGACAGCGTCGGTAGGAAGGACATGTCAGAGCGTTTGTGTTCCAGGTTGACGTGTTTAAATCATGTTGGTTTAAAACCTTTAAACCGAACAATCTCAACAAGTTGTGTTCCTTAACATGTTGATACCGATTAGTAACGGTCACGTCAGATGTAGTTTCCAAGGCACAGGTTTGAGCTGAAGCAGCACAGACAAAATGACATCCAAGTCTGACTGCACTACTCAATAAACACCTCCTATTACCTTTCTTCAGCCTTGTCAGTCAACCCTTGGTCTACTCCTGGGGGGGAGGGGCTCCACTGGGTTTAAATACGGTGGGAAGTGGCATTCCCTCCTGACCTCATAGACCCAAGCAATCAAATACTAAAACCAAATGTTGTCCTGAGTCCCATTTGATCATTTCTATATTTTTGGTCTGAGACAACAAATGTCGGGTCAGGGTTAGGGGTAGGGTTGGCAGCCTAAGCTGAGAGGCCCAGACTTCCCACTCCCAAGCTACTTGGGCCAACTCCTCCAGGGGAATCCCAAGGCATTCCCTGGCCAATCAAGAGACATGGTCCCTCCAGTGTCCTGGGTCTTCCCTCAGGTCTTCTCCCTGTTGGACGTGTCCAAAAAAACGTTGCCAGGGAGGCGTCCAGGAGGCATCCTGACTAGATGTCCAAGCCACCTGAACTGGTTCCTTGCGACGTGTAGGAGCAGCAGGTCTACTCCGAGCCCCTCCTGGATAACTGAGCTTCTCACCCTATCTCTAAGGTAGCGCCCAGGCACCCTGTGGAAAGAAACTCATTTCAGCTGCTTGTATCTGCGATCTCGTTCTTACGGTCACTACCCAAAGCTCGGGACCATAGGTGAGGGTAGGAACGTAGATCAACCAGTAAATCGAGAACTCCGCCTTCCGGCCCAGCTCTCTCTTCACCACGACACATCGGTACAACTCCTGCATCACTGCAGATGCAGCACCAATCTGCCTGCTGATCTCACACTCCATCTTTCCCTCACTTGTGAACAAGACCTCAAGATACTTACACTCCTTCACATGAGGCCATCATCCCTGACCTGGAAAATACATTCTACCTGATCTACCTGATTCCCATCCCAGCTGCTTCACACTCGGCTGCGACCCGCTCCGGTGAAAGCTGGAGATCACGTTCTGATGAAGCCAACAGGACCACATCATCTGCAAAAAGCAGAGGCCTGATCCTTAGGCCACCGGAACAGATCCCATCAGCACCTTGGCTGCACCTAGAAATCCTGTCCATAGAAGTTATGAACAGAATCGGTGTCAAGGGGCAGCCTTGGTGGAGTCCAACTCTTACCAGAAACAAGCCCAACTTTTTGCTGGTAGGGCGGACCAAGTCTGGTGCCCCATACTCCCAGAGTAACCCTCCACAGCGCCCCCTGGGGAATGCAGTCAAACGCATACTCCGAGTCCACAAAACACATGCAAACTCCCACGCACCCTCTAGGACCTTCCTAAGGGCATAGAGCTGGTGCAGTGTCCCACGGCCGGGACAAAAACCACATTGTTCCTCCTGATTCCAAGGTTAGACAATCCGAGGAACTCATCTCTCCAGAACCCGTGAATACACCCTACTAAGGAATAGGGTTGCAACGTATATACATTTTGGCAGTATGATTATAATCTGATGTGTATTAACATAAATAAATCACACTCACATTCTCTAAATTATTGATGAAAGGCATTATTAAATTCTATAAAGGTTTTGATTTCCTGAAATATCTATTCTTCCTTTTTAGAGATTTTGCTTAGAAAAATTCACTCTGCTACTGATTTGCAACGTTGATGTTTTACCTCCACAAATAACACGAGCCTGGAGGAGTTCTGCAGTGTGGTGAAGTTGCTAATGCTAACGGTTAGCTTCTATTAGCAGAGACGTTCTCTGCTGTTTCCTGGACGCTAAACCAACAACAGCCAACTGTTGTGAGCCAAAATGGGTGAGTCCATGAATGTTGGTGACAGTGTGACGTAGATTTTCTAATCCTAGAGTTTCACCGTCTGCCTTCTATCAGGAGCTAATGCAGGAGATAGGTGTAGAAGACTATTTTCATGTTCAGGGTTAGGCAACCCTAACCCTGAACATGAAACACTCAGAGTGACTGATTATCAAAAATAATAAGTAAATAAATGGTTTTCAGTGAACCACACCTTTAATTATATTTGCCTAATAGCATTTTCTGACTTTCTGTAAAAAGTCAAAAAGGTTCAGCTGTTGCCAGCTGGTCTGGGTTAGTGCTGAAGGATGGATTAAGATGCTCAACTCCTAATGTCCATGCCATACTGCAGCGCTGCCTCAGCCAACACATCCCAACAACATCCAGAGCCTTAAAAAACTCCGGACCGATCTCACCCAGGAGTTCTTTGACCATCTCAGTGACCTTGGTGTCCCCAGACTCTGCTTCCTCTGGAAGGCGTGCTGGTGGGATTGAGGAGGCCTTCGAAGTATTCCGCCCACCGACCAACAATGTTCTGAGTAGAGGTCAGCAACATCATGTCACCACTGTAAAGGGCGTTGGCGATGTGGAACCGTTCTAAACCACGTCTGCTGACATTAAAGCCTTTCGCTACAGTCATAAGCTTTGAGTAATGACCCAACATACAAAATCACTAACACAAGCAGCCAAAATGAGATTTCTCTGGATGGTGGCCGCCCAGGCTCAACCTTGGAGAAAGGATGAGAACCTCCACTGTTAGGGAGGGTCTTGGAGAAGAGCCGCTGCTCCCCCATGTAAAGAAGAGGAGCCTGTGACTTTATTCGACATGAAGGCTGGAGCCAAACGGGAGTAAACAGCACAGCCTAGTGATAAGGATGCCTAACTGCTGTTAAACAGGCAGAACCAGAGCTGCCACACTGCCCTCAGAGGGGTACATCTGCTTTCACTGACGGGTGAGAACAGAATCTCACTGTGACCAAACTAATCTATGGGAATCTATAATTACCAAATAATTCATGGAGTCCATAGCTGTTGGCTCCCCTTTGCCTTTGCTTGTGTCAATAAATCATTAGCATCAAATGTAATTTCATCTCCAACACTGTTTGACATGATGCTGCTGTATTAATGTAATCAGCGCTCGTCCATCCATCAGAGGCCCTCCGTCTGACCAGGCTCCCCCTGGCTCCCCCTGGCTCCCCCGCCGTACAACTATGCTCTACTACAGGCTTGGTTTTTAGTGCGTCTGTCTCAGGCTCAGCGAGCGTTTCTGCTTTCTAATCTGATTGTGGCTGATGTGTTTATAAAACGACGTTTACAATAATGACACGTATCCGTATAGTTTATTCTTTGAGTGTACGGTTGACTTTTCTCAGCTCCTTGTATGGTTTCTTTTCTACGTGCTTCCTTCAACTCTAAGAACCGTTCTGGGTTTCCATTTCACAGCTGATGGTTCTTAACTGCTCGTGTTATTTCTCTCCATTCCTTTTAGATTTTTCCACCAGCTTGGATCATTACTCAGCTTCTGATTTTTGCTGTTCTTCTCTTCCTTTTCTTTTCACTTGGCTGATTATGCTTCCTCTTACCCTCCTCGCCTCTGGTTCAGACCGCTGATTTTCTCCTTCCACCTAGTTTACTTGAACCTTTCTCTGTGTTTCTGTATTTTTCCCCGGGTGTCAGCTCTTATAGTGATGGGACTTGTGCTGCCACGTCTTTACCTGCCCTTCTGGCTCCATTTCCTCCTTTTAGAAACACTCGATTATTTTTCTCTGTTGGTCTCTGGGGACTTTGTTTGGTTAGGGTTCTCATTTTCTACACGGTGTCTTCTTGACTTTTTCAACATCGCTGTCTGACAAAAACAAACAAAAAGGAAATCCGATTTTAATCTTTGTTCAGTTTTGAACCCATTTCTCTCTCTGAATCAGAGTGAAGCAGCATCTCGTCTCCATTTCTTCCACCTCTCATTTCCGTTTGACCGATTCATCCCCACCCGTTCCTTTCTTCTACATCATTCTCTACCAGGCTGAAGGCAGTAAGAGGGGAACACCTGAACACTTCATTGTGGATAACAAGTCAAACCAAAAGCTGCTGAAAATAAATTATGACATAATGAAATATTTTGGGTATCTCAAAAAACGAGAGCCGGGTAAACCCACACATGTGTGGGGGGAACATGCTAACTCCATGCAGAAAGCACACAGCCAGGATTTGAACCTGCAACCTTCTTGCTGTGAGGCAACAGTGCTATTACTCTACATTTTAGATTACTTTTATTAACTGTAGTTATTCATGTATAATAGCCAAGCATCCGGTCACTAGGTGGCAGCAGTGATGAAACTAATCAACAGGCTGCCTGTTCAACGATAGCGAGCCTAAGTCCCGCCCACCTTCTTCCGACCACGGGTCCCCGGAAGAATGAAAAAATGAAT